ATGTCAAACAGACTGGAGTAATCTTGAGTCTAAAGGACATGTCCAGCTTTTGGGTATGAGGAATTATCTGCGTAGATTACACTGTAGTTACGTGATATATTAAGAGACAAAGAAGAATAGGATCGAGGAAAGGATTATATTTTAGATATGTGAGCATCAAGGTGTTTTTTAAATATTCAAGTAAAATTATAAGTGGCCCATTGAAGGTAGATGTCTCTCATTCATGGCATAGTTAGACCTGGAGATATGTCTGAGCTCATAGTTTATAAATGGTGTACACCTATATAAACAGTACATTTTATCTACGTCTATGATTATCATAGAGTAATTAGAATTTTCTAGAGAGTAATATTAATCTACCATCTGCATGATATAAAGATTAAAATATATGTTCTTAAAATTATTTAAAGTGGTTCAAAAGTGAAATAATACACACTATATTCATACTTACAATTAAGAAAAAAAACGACCAAATACCACTATTTTTTCTCCCATTGCGAAAAATGAATGAAATCACGTATGTCAAGAAAATAAGAGATGAGACATATCCAATACTACACAGGATCTGAAAATAGAATATTAAAGTTGGGTAAGGTAAATGTATCTAGGAAAGTAAATAAACCTCAACTTTCCAAATTATGCTATAACAAAAGTAATTTGAAGTTCTTTGGTTTAAGATGAATAATATTACAGCATTCATTAAAATAATCTAATAAAACCATCTCATAATTTTTACACTTACCTGAATTAACAGGTTTTGAATTATAAACATAATTTCATCCGGGTTAAAAATGTAATCCATTATTTGCATGAGAAGGAGAATCAAGAAGTACAGCGGACTGTCTACCAGAGCCTGCCCGAACCAGTAAGCCGAAGGATAGAGGCCTGAAATCCACAGCTGGGAGTGAGTTTTTTTCTGATTAAAAAACCAAACAAAACAACAACATCATCAACAACAACAACAACAACAAAATAGAAGAGTCATCGAAAGGTCGTGATAGCTGAAGCTGAGAAATTACAAATATGTAGTCACAAAAACGTTCACGTTTCTCTATGTCCCTTTTATATATTATACTGATTTGTTAAATGGGTTTCACTTGCCACACTCCTGCTTCAGGGGGATTAATAATGCTGTAAACCATATGACAACTTCATCATCTGAAGGGAAAACACACCAACATAATAACGAGCTTGCATTCCACCACAGCGACTGGGCATTGTTTCAGTGAGAAGATACCCATTCCTTTCTTTCTAAAGCTACTCTTCCCTTTGATACCATGAAGACCTGCAAGATGTACAAAGATTCCGAAGGTGCAGGTTTACGATTTCCTGTAGGATTGATAAATTCTATGCTGAAGGTAAATAGTGCATTTATAATTGGCATTTAATTTGGAGTCTAAGAAATAATCATCTAACTTGTTAGTTTCATTAAGAATTCTTTAGGTCGGCATAAGAAGACTTCCGTTAAAATGTTAGACTTCCTGTCTTGAAGTAAACCATACTTTTCATTATTACATATGGAAACTCATAAGTGGACTTAAATTTTGTGGCCCACTACTGGCCGTATTGTTGCAGTGATCATCTTAACGCAAGCTCTTAAAACATAACTTGGACTTTTCTAACAGTAAAGCACAAAAACAATTACAATTTTAAATCTAAAATTGAGTGTACGTAAAGAGATGAATTAAGGAAAAAGTTGGAATGCAGATAAATATTCTGGAGAGGAGAGTACATTTGGAAGGAAGCAGGAGAGGGAAAGACAGTGAAGACACATTAGAGAGCTGACATTTCATATTCATTCATTTGCTCAATGTATATTTACTGTGCATATACCATGTGCCTGGCTTTGTGTTGATCATGGAGCTCTTAGGGAGTTTAGTGTGCAGAGGGAAAGGAGACAAAGGTGATATGCAAATAATTAAATTAACGATCAAAATTATTAAAATTAAAAATGAAGGAAGTAAAATTAAAAGTGTTAAGAAGGTTAAGGGTCACGTGAGAGCCTTTAGAAAAGAGATAAATTGTAGTTAGGGGGTCAAGTCAGTAAGGGGGTTCGTTTGCAAAAGGGTGAGTGAGGGTCTAAGCAATGAGTTATCCAGGCAACAATTCGGGAGCACTGCAGGCAGAGAGATCAGCAGGAGAGAAGTGAGGAGAGCTGATGTTCCGGGGAAACTGGAAAGAAGCCATTATGGCTGGACACGGTTAACAAGATGCTAGTGGCACTGGATCAAAGTGGAGAGAAACACCTGGGTCCAGATCATGCATGGCTTTTCCGGCTATGGTGAGTATTTCATTCTTGCTCCTTAGTTTATGGGGAAACACTGAAGGGATTTAGGCAGGTAATTAAGATGGTCAGATTTGTGTTTTTAAGATATTGCTCTGTCACATTGTGTAGGAAACAGATAAGAAGACAAATGAGAACCCATAGTGAGCAGTTAGGAAGGCTGTTGTGCTCATCCAGAAAAGAAATGACAGTGGCTCTGCCTGGAGGAAGTGCTGTGGTGAGTTATTTAGGGCTTTTAACTGAGTAACTTTGCTACCATGCAGGAAGTGGAAACCATCATTGAGAGATGGGATGTCAGTAGGTGTCCAGAAATAAAACTGTACATGACATACCAGATAAAATTGCCATTTCCTGTTAGATGATATCATCTAAGCTGTCCTTCCTGAAGTCTCACATTCGTTTGAGAAAAATGGCATGCTCTTTCTATTTGCCAAACTTTTATTAAAATGCTTGATCGTTCATTGTTTCAGGCACATAAATTAGGTGTACCACTTACATATGAATTTATGGTCATAAGATGGGGAAGGGCTCTCTGCGTATTAAGAACATGTCAAGAGTTTGCTAACTTTTCTTACTTTATAGTCACCGATGCTGCTCATCGCAATGTAAGGAGTAAAACAAGCTGCCACAGGTATCCAGAAGAAGGCATTACTCATGTACCCATACTCATCAGACGTGTGCTCCTGAAATCACGTAGAAGAGCATGAGTTGATTGGGTATACCGTTCATTTGTACTTTCTTAACTAAATCACTCAAATAAATCAGCCTGACCCCTGGAAGTACTTCTCCAGTTTCTATTTGCAACATCTTATCCACATTCATTTTCAATCATGAGTCGCAATGACTTGGACACCTTGAACATGCATCCTGATTTTCTTTTGAAGAAGCAAACACCACCAGGTTGTACGAATCGGCTAAGGACCCACAGTTAATAACTTGTGAGGTAAGTATTTTCTTGAAAAATTCTTATGGCTCAGGATAAGTGAGATAATATTATACTTACTTCAAAATATGTGCTTCTGTCAGTCTGAATGCGTTCTGAAGAATTCAAAATTCCAAGTAGCCCATTGCTAATGATATCCATGAGGACAGGAAAGCAATTCAGCCTTTTGGTATTACATGCTATTGAAAACCTGTGATCCTAAAATAAAACCAATATGCATTCTAAATCCTCGGAAAGCCAATACAAAATTTAATGAAAAAATACGGTAGAAAATCATTCATATTATCTACAATACAATAAAGCTAAAGCACTGAATGCGATTAATATTACCATCACCATCACTAATATTATTTGATTGTCTTAATATACTGCAAGAAATCTAGTATTTTGGTCTTTACTGACCATAGCATCAGCCATGTTGCTATTTATGCCTAAACTCTGGCAAAACAAAATAGCTCACATGATCTTTAGCAGCAACACTAGAAAACTCCATAATGCGACCTCACTTCAACATGCAGTAGGTTTTGTCTCAAAATGTGATACATTCATTTTATAACTGAAGAATGTATGGATACTCAGAAGGCAGGAGGCAAGCATCTGTTGCAATAAAAACATAGGTTTTCAAAATACTGAGCTCTCAATAGCAATGTTGCATGGAAAAATGTCTTTTAAAATGACATTTTATATTATAATAACTATGTATAGTACCAGATGGGTACTAGACTAATCGGGGGTGGGGGTGGATCACTTTGTAAATTATATAAATGTCTAACCACTATGCTGTACACTTGAAACTAATATAAAATAATATTGAATGTCAACTCTAATTGAAAAATAAAAATTAAAAATAGAAAATAAATAAAATGACATTTTAAAATCATTTCACAATATATGGAAGTAATTATGCTGTACATCTTAAACTTATAAGGTGCTGGGAATTATATCTTCATAAAACTGGGAAAAACAGTAAAAATGATTATATACATGTAAAATATATATTAAGCACATATTACGAACATAATTATTTCTCCTCCAAATAAAAACAATATGAGTAAATTATTACCTATATTAGCTAAAATGTGGGCAAGCTTTGAGCATACATTTTTACAATCACAAATAAAATAAGTGAATTTTGTCTAACCTATTTACTTAAGGCAATGTTTATTGATATTAAGGGTGCTGTTTTTATGAATTATTTTTCTGCGTATACTAGAAACTAACCTAATTAAGACATATCAAGGACTAGCTCGATCAAAGGCAATTTCTGATTTTATTTTTCACCTAGAAATTATTTCTGAAAATGAACACTGACAAGCTGCAAATGGTCAAGCTTTGTGACACTGAACTACTGATTTGTACATTTAACATTGTCTTCTCATCTTTTTCCATTCATTTACTACAAGGATCTCTATCCAAGCTCCTACAGGGTCTAAGCAGATAATATAAATGAATGAAGCAGTATGGAGATACAGCAAACTGAAAAGTCTGGGTATAAACAGGGCAACTGTTCTCCTATCCTAACTGCAGACTGCCAGAATTGGCATATAAAGGAATTTTTCAAGAGAAGCCAGAAATTTAAATTTTGAAGTAAAATATACCAATCTTCGACATTGCCAAAGAAGGTAGTCCTTCTCAAACTTTAATGAGCCTGCTGCTCCTCTGCAGAGTCTCTTGTTAAAGTGTGGATCCTGACTCAGTGGGTCTGGAGTGAGGCCTGCGTTTCTACATTTCTAACAAGCTCCTAGCTGATCCAATGTTACCAATTCATGAAACACACTTTGCAGGAAATTAAGGCTTTTTAAAAAGCATCAGATAACTGAGCATCGATATTTATCTAAAGATTTGACCTTCTGTATAAAGTTTAGCAGGTAGAACTTGAGCTTTTGTCCCCATGAAAACCACACAAAAATCTACTGTAAAAAATTAAGAGTTAATATTTATATTTAGTAGCCAGAGCTGAAGTTCACAATAGATATTAATCAAATTTATATTTGGAGGATTCATCAAAATGTCATTTGAGCTGATATCTTTTTGAGAATAAGATTTAAATTAATGATTGGAATGGAATACAATTGCTAATAAGATTTAAATTCGTTATTGATTATAGCTGCATATACAATGTAATAAGGAACAAAATCAAACAGTATTTTGTTATACGCAGTTATATGGAGGCTGTGGGCAAATAATTACAATCCAGCTTCTCTAAAAAAGAACTATTCCATCTGTTTGTGTCAAATTGGCCTTTTACGTTAGTTGATATGTATTATTCAAATTTCGTGTTTATACTCCACCTTTGGTGAGCTGTAGCAATTGGAGCCCAACATACCTTGTCATCACCTGACACCGTGATGGCACCATTGTATGATGACTCGTTTGGGCCATATCTAGTTCCAAAAGCATCCACTTCCAAAGCTATGTTCTGTTGCCTCAGTGAATGTATAAAGTTTTCAATGCTTGACCCTACCATGAAAGTAAAGATCAAAAGAAGCAAAAATGCAGTAAACCAAAGGTCAAGTAATATTTTAAAAAATAATGTCACTCAAAGCATACCATAATAAAGGAATGTCTAAGGACTTCCTTAAAAAGGCAGAATTGATGCTGTGATCCTAAAATCCATTCTGATACCAAGAATATGACAAGTTTATTTTACCTAGAGGCTAGGCAATTACTCTTAACTTCCGTTAGTGTAAAAATACTGTTTAAAGTGAACATTATAATCTTTGTAGATATTAATCTTCTATTTTCTTAGAAATCTAGAACACATATTTTTTCCAGAGCCCAAGAATGCATAGTACGTAAAAAAATGTTATGGAAGACCTCAGAGGTCAGTCCGTGATTTGCCTTCCTAAAGCACCTTTTATTATTTTGTTCAATAAGCTTTAGGTTTTAAATACACTTGCAAAATGTGTTTCTAAAACAAACTCCCTGTATTTTTCATTTATAAATTAATTTCCTGTTTGGATTCATATATGCTTTCTAAAACATACAGAATTTATTTTTCCTTCATGGTTTGTGCTGCCTGGGGAATCTTGCAACAAGATCTACGTTTCAAAGTTGGATTGGGGCCCCATGTTCACCTGTTTTATTGATGACCAGTAAGTGGGTCAGAGGAGCTTGAGGTGGTTGTCCCGGTGAGTGGAAGTACATATTAGGAGACAAGCCCCAAGAATAACTCTTTTTATATAGCTCGTAGAATAGATGTTCCAAAAGCTGAGGGAAAAAGCTAATGCCCAGAAGCAATAATCTGCATATAGAAAAATATAAGAGAAAAAAATTCATGTATAGCAACCTTTGTAGGTCTTTACATATGAGCAGATAATGGATGTTATAATAGAAATAAATTATAAACACTAACCAAATATATGAACCATGCTTTTTCTCCTTTTTCCTTCTTTCTAAAATGAGATGGTTCCTAGGGATCTATCCTTGGTCTTTCTGTCTTTCTGAATAACCCTTCTCCTCATTACATTTCATTCAAGCTTATGAAATCTGCTGTTCATGTCTTAGATCTCTCTCTCCAATGCCCACTCCTTTGCTTGGTCTCAGTCTTGCACTTCTTCCTTTATTGGGACCACCGCAAGCCGGCACATGACCAATACCCAGACTTACCACACTATGAAACTTTTCCTTCTCCTGTTCCCAGTTTCCATAACTTACAACATTTTCTCATTTCCTTGGGCTCTGAAGCTCAATCATTTTATACTCATTTTTTCTCCCGTATGTCTCTTTTCCAAATGATTAAAAATTTCTATCTATCATAATATCATTCTCACTTGCCTCTGTACCTTCTCTCTTCCACTTTTCAAGTTTGGACCTTAATTATCTCCTTCCTGACCTCTTTCAAAAATGTCATAAATGCCTGTTTTCCTTGTCTCTAATGTCTACTATTCGCAAACCATTTACACTGTTGTCCTATTAAGTTTCTTGTCATTCTGTTCTAATTATATCAATCACCTGTTCAAAACAAACAAACAAAAAAACCTTAATAGTTCCTTATTACTCATAAAGTCCAAACTCTCTAGCTCTATGTAATATATTATCAAAATTATTTTTAGTTTTTTGGCACTCTCTATATTGCAATTAACTCAAATTAATGACAGTCCTTCAGATTCTCCATGTCCATCCATGCTCAGAACTTCTCCCTGTCTGAATTTCCATCCCTCTTTCTTTTCTTAGCTAAATGTTCTGTTTTCCTACACCAAATTCAAATTCTTCCTCATGTAAATTTCTTTTTTGATGTCTCTGTTTGCACATAACCTCTCTCGTACTGAATGCTATAGTAGACAATGTCGTCTAATGTTGTACTATGCCTTATTAGTGTACTTCTAATCACTCTCGACAGCTGAATTGCATGTCTGATTTATTGTGATGAGCATTACAGATATTTACAAGAGTGTTCTGCAGAGGTGCTCACCCCTCAGTTTTGAATGAATGAGTCTCTGGAGAGGAGGGTGGGGCTTATGCAGGCAGGTATTACCCAGGAAGAGCCTGAAGCTATAGAGAACTATATGGTGTGAACCACCTGGTAGGTTCCAGAGAGTGACCTAAGGCCTTGGCCAAGATACTGCCCAGCATGGAGGCAAGTCTTTGGGGTGGGACCTAAGTGCTAAATTTCATGCTCCTAAAAAACTACCATAACCCTTTGGCAAGAGCAGATTCTGTACAAAATTAAAAGTAAAATTCCATACTTTATTTGGTTCAATTATATCCCCGCCTACACAATTAAAATTTGGCTTCCATGTTAAATAAAAGAACCATATACAGTTGCTGGAATTTATTTATCTGAGGGTTTTTTTTTCTTCTTCTTTTCTTGAATTTATTTTGAATGGAGTGACCAAACATATCTGAAACACCCAGGTACTCACATGGTCATTAGAGTTTTTTTTTCGTTCTTTAACTTTAGGAAGCGAACTTTGGCTATCGCACAGACCTGCTGCCTCCAAAGAACCATGCCTCTGACAGCTTTCTTTGTTTCGTGACAGGAAGACAAAAGTTGTTCCAGCTCAACAAGGCTTCCTGAGTCTTTTGTCCTATCGCTTTGTAACTGTCCCCAAATTCCGCTATCTATAAAACATAAGATCGGTAATTTATGAAGTGCCGTTTTAGATGTGCATTATTTGGATTTTTCTATAATCATCTTTTTACCAAATGGTGTCAGGGTACATGGTCTTGGACAAAGATACAAATAATGAAATTCATGGCTTTACTTGAGCAAATAAGAAATAGGAATAAAGCAAAAAAAATTATATACTGCAAGAAGAAAAACATGATATAATAAAAGAAAATTTTGTATTTTCTGAAAAAAAAAAAAAGTCCTGTGTCTGCAGCTTCAAAGGACTTAATTCGTTCCAGGGAAATCAATGAAAAGAAAGCCATATTGAACCTAGAAAAATCTATTCATTGTAATAGTTAAACTAACTTAGTACTTCTGACCAGGTGGAAGAGTTAATACATATAGCTACCTCCACTTTCCTCTCTAGGAATATGAAATTGGTAGAGACAATATTTTTTAATATAGCCATGGGTGAACACAAGACAAAAGTTACTTCTTTTGGAAAAGGAGCTCCGAAAAACTGATCAACTCTAGACTTTCAGAGAGCTAGATGTATATTAAAAGTTAAGTGTAACCACTATGGAAAAGGTATCAAGTGTATAACTTCGGAAGTAGATGACAAGGATAAAAAAAACACACACTTGATCAATCAGGAAAAAAAGAAAATTAAAAAGTATAGTAAAGAGTAAACATAGTAGGATGATAGTAAACCAGAAACAAGGAAATAGAGTAATTAGAAAAGGCAGAACACTTTCCAAGGAATAATAATTAGACTAACAGAAAATCTTTCAACACCAAGGATGGAATCCTGACGGCGTTGGAATAATATCCCCAAAATACTACCAGAAAAGTAACTGTCAATCTATAATTTTAACTTTCTTTTCTCTATAGCTCTTATATTCAAGGAATATCATATTACATATTTGTTGTCTGCTCCCTGAGGACCTAGCCTTATATACTGCTGTACTCCACAAGCTTAGTAAAATAAGAAACTCAAGATGGGAGACCAACATGGAGAGAAATAAATAAAATAAATGCATTTATTTTATAAATAAAATAAAATATCACACGGAAAGATAAAATTCAATTTTTTTTACCTGACTCATCCATAGCTGATTTTCCTTCTAATTTCAAGAACACCTCATTCAAAGTTGTCATGGAAACACCATAATTCTCGATGCCCTGGTTAGAACATCTATCAAGATCCTTGTAAAGGTCTAAAAGTAGACGTAAAAATCCATCAAAAAATATGATCTATAATGAGATTGACAATAACTATATTTTTCAGAACTAGAAAACATTTGTGACAAACCAAATACATATGTCAGAAACAAAGTTATGATACAGATATTCCCCTGTTTATAAAACAATCTATACAGTGGATTAGTTTCCATGTCTTGTTGAGTATAAAATTTTAAACATTTATTTATTTTTCATTCTTAGAAAACGACGCATGTGAGGACTTTTGAAATTACTGTTTTATTTAACGTGTTTTTAAATTTTTAATTAGATTATAAAGGGTGTTATGCATAGACTGAATGTTTCTGTCAATCTAGAATTTATATTTTGAAATCTACCCTTCATGCCATGGTATTAGGAGGCGGGGTCCCTAAGAGGTCATTCAGATTAGATGAGGTCATGACGGTGGAGCCTTGGTAAATGCAATTAATGCTTTTCTAAGAGTAAGAAGAAAGCTTGTTTTCTCTCTCTGTTCTCTGACATGTGAGAAGAGAAGTCAGCAGTCTACAACCCTGAAGATACCTCTCGCCAGAACCCAACTGTGCTGGCACCTGACCTTGGATGTCCCAGCCTCCAGAACTCTGAGAAAAAAATGTGTTTGTAAGCCACCCACTCTATACTATCTGTTATAGCAGCCCCAACTAAGACAAGAAATATTTAATTTTAAACCCCCATTATTTAAGAAATACTTCCTGGAAAGTAGAGATTTACGCTTTTATGTTAGGGATAACTGTTAGGCAATATAATAATAAATGCAAAAGAACTAATGTTAACTGTAACATCATTGTAAGTCATCTGTGGTCTCTACATTCTGTTACCTGGAAATTTGTTCGTCCTTTCCAAAGGCAAAGTATATACAAGCTTTTCTTCACTCTGTGCTGTTAATTTGGCATCAGGGATGTGCTGTTTGACAAGTGATGTTACATTGTCTGGATTGCACATTTCATTCAGATGCAAACTAATGTTAAAAAAAAGTAAGTTAAAGTTATTTTTCTCTAACATCTTCTCTACAAACAATTGTACTATGTACTTGTCACTTCTTGATATTTATAAGACAAAGCATATATAATAGAATGGAAGAAGCAAGACATAAAAATACTAATATCGTCCAAACCATATAATCTATACAACATGGCAGAGGAACTAGTGTATTAGAGACAGATAAGATGACTCGAGGATTGTTATTTGGAGAAAAGATCTTGGCTCGGGGTGCCCAGTTTTATCTACAACTCAACTTGGAATTCTCTGTTTGCGGTAAAGCATGAGTTCTGCAAAAACTACCACTAAAACATGGTAGAGACAAAAATGGAGGTAATTTGCTGCGGATATGATGAACGTGGTTCTAGTGTCCCACTGATTCACATCCCAGAGCACAGGTTTAATGTACTTGGGCATCGGTTTTCTCCTCTGCGAGATGAAACAATACCAACCTCTCAACGAATTTCAAAACACAGGATACAACAAAGTATGTATGAGAGAGTACTGAGTAACCTCCCAATATATGTTAGCTAATTTAATCTTTTTTGGGGGGAGGGTGCAAAATTTATTCAAGTCAAAGCTGGTCTGCCTTCTCATGAAACAGATGAAGTTCTTTGTCAAATCATTGGAATTTAGAAACCCCATTATTAGTTACACGCATTGAAATTTACTGAAGCTACAGAATGAGGGCATCGCAATTATTTTTGGTGACACAAACCTAAAAATCAATTTTAGAAAATGCTCTTCTGTGTTTACAAGGCCCTATGCTAAGCAGTCTCCTGGATATCAAATAGGAAGAATACAGAGGCTTCCCTAAAGGAGCTTGTAGCAGAATATAATTAATGTAATAAATATAATATAATATAATATATAATATAGCATATTATAGAATAAATGAGAGAGGGAGAAGTTGAGTTAAATCAATTAAGTACTTTGCACATTGTCAGTTACTCATTTGTTCAATATTTTTGTCTTAAATGCAAAGTAGTTATAAGTACTGCTATTTCATAATTGAAGTTCCTGAGGATCGAGGAAGTTAATTAAGTTGCCTAAGGCAACAATTCAAAATAGTGCTCTTGAGGTTCCAGAAGAATGGATGCTTTTTAAGGAGAAAACATTCAGAAAAGACCCTTCAAGAATGAATAAGGTTTAAACACAGTTAAAATGGGGTGAGGAGGACATGTCAAACAGATGTGTCAGCTCGAGCAGAGACGAGACACTGAGTGAGCTGTGGGACATACCTAGAGAACAGTGAGTGATTCCTTTTAGTTGGAAGGTATTGATCAGTCAGAATGTGCCAAGCAATCATGATGGAATGATAGATTTGATCAGGTTAAACATTTGACGTAAATAATGGGGGATTCATTTAACCACTGGAGATGAAGTGATTTGAATTATTTTCTTAAGAAATATTAATAACTTAGTGGGAAATGTAAGAAGAGATTCATATTACACCTGTAATCTTGCTCCAAAGATTCTATCACTTATAAATGATGTGAGTGGGCAGATTATTAAAACACTCTGACAGGTCAAAAGAGGATAATCATACCATCTTCTTAGACTTATTTGGAAGATTAAATATGTTTAATCTTAGTACCTGAAACATAGCCAATACTTACTAAGTGACAGACATTACTTAATAATGATAATAACTATTATCTGGAAGAGAAGGAGACAGAAAAGAATGGAAGAGCAAATGAATTCAGGGAGAACAGGAAAGAGGCTATTGAAATTGTCAAGATAAGCCAAAATAAGTATCCAGAATATGATAAGGAAAAGGGCTAGTTCATCAGTAAATTTCTCTAAGCAAACAATGAATTGTGAAGATATTTTTCAAAAATTTTATTTAAACTTAGCTTAATCATCCTTATTTCATTAATGTCTAGAACCCCACATATCGTTCATTTTAGCTAAGAAAGAGAACAGTTGTGGCATAGTTCTAATACAGCTCTCTTGAAATGAAGTGACTGGTTGTGTTGCCTACTTCAACATGCCAACACCGATGTCACCTGCCCTCAACATTTCCAACATGTTCTACATGTTCTAATGTGTCTCCAACAATAACGGTTAGACCTTAAATGGTAGCCAATGCCCCATTTCTTCTTCAGGAATAGAGAAGAGCCTGCACACTTCAGCTTCCCGTTGGATATAAACACCTTCCGATCTAAGTAGAAAAAAGCCAAAAAACAATTTGTATTAAGGAATTATTTTTTCACTGTGTATAAAAGAACAAACCTGTTAATAAATGATGTATTTTAGAAGCACGACCCACTAAAACAGATGCTATCGATTTCCAATCATATCTAAGCCACTGTCTTTGTCATCTAATAACTAAAATGATTTTATCCAATGATAAAATGATGTTAGTTTAGTCTCTAGTATATTTAGAAAAATTTTTATACATTGAAAGGATCTGTTTCAAGCCAAATGACATTCACATGGAATACAACAGTTTATCTTTGAGAATACGCTATATATCTTACAACCAATGAGCTGCTTTGCAAGAGAATCAGAATATTTCCATGAAACAATGTATTGAGGGATGTTGGCACTCAAATGGGTGAGAGAAAGATTCTTTTGTCTTGGCTCGTGGCAGTCACACACAAGGCAGCTGTGCTGGAAGGCATCTATACGTATTCCACACGTGTCCCTATTTCCTCACTAAGATACAACAACAAAACAAAACAAAACAAAAAACTAAGAATCACCAGCCAGAATGTCAGCCTCATCCATGAACTGGGTGCTGAAGAGAATTACTCTGTCTAACTTCCTCTCTTTCAGGAGGCTCCACACACGGTGCCTTGAAAGAGGGTCTGATCCAGCCGTCGGTTCATCCAGTAGCAAGATCTGCACAGTAGGAAAGCACATAAATTCATTTCCCCCTTACAGTAAGAGTCTTTTAAAAAGCAATATACTCGTAGAAGTACCTGGAGAAATATCTTAGTATTTAATTTTTCATTAACGGGTCTCTTTACATTTATCACTTGCAAATTAACTCTGATCAAATACAATAACTTCACAGTCCTCAATCTGATTTTACCAGTAATTTTAGTTCCATTTACCTGAGGATCTCCTAAAATGGCAATCCCAAAAGTTAGTTTCCTTTTTTGTCCACCGCTTAAATTTTGAGCAAGGATGTCTTGGATACTTTCCATCTCCAAGTCCCGTAAAACCCTTTGCACCTAACCAAATAAAAGAGAGTTAGTCCAAAACCCAGAATGTTTGTTTTAAAAACACTCATTTTGCTTTTCATGACAAAGGGCCTTTTTGCCCTTTGATGATGAATCTATAGAAATAACACAAATGAATGTAGAATTTCCTAGGTAAACAGTTTCATTTTCGGGGCCATGTGACCTCTAATGTGTTCATCTACCTCTTGCTTCACTTCATGTGGCTGAATCCCTTTTATTTCAGCAAACAGCTGGAGGTTTTCTCTCACAGTGAGGAAGCCAAATTGCACATTGGATTGTGGGCAAACTCCGGTGAGCTTGCTGACAGTTTCCAAGTCAGCCGCTTCTGATGGTGAGTGGTTATAGATGGTGACTGAACCTAAAAGGAGAGGGTAGAGAGTTAGCATCAGGATAATGTCCCACGCTTTATTTAAGATATTTTAAAATGAAAAACAATGTGTGTTAATCACTAGAGTCTGTTAAAGAAATCGTATCTATAAGGGGTACACTATTGACTGCTTCAAAATTTAATGTTCCCAATACACCTGATCGAGCTGGAATGCCAACTGATAAGTGTAAAGCTACTCATGAAATATGTAAACCACAAAGGTTTTTCTAAATAAATAGAACATAAATCTACAAAAGAATAACTTGAAAAAAACTTCTAAAACTTCTAAATACCCAAGTGTGACTAGTTGTTAATGAAACTAAAAACTGTTGAAATTAACGAAACCAGTTAACTAGTGAAATGCACAGTTAAGTCATTTGCCCATGATCTTGTCGTTGGATAATTGTCTTCTCACCAGATGTTGGGACCGACAGTCCACTGAGCATGTTTAACAGGGTTGTTTTCCCAGCTCCACTGTGACCGAGGAGGGCGGTGATCTGGCCTTCATAAATGTCAAATACCAATCCTATTTCAAAAAAAAATAAATAATTACACTCAGAGCCTCTACATAGTGACTTCACAGTCTCTGAAATTTCTGTAAGTTCTTATAGCATGAGTATATTTGGCTAGCAGTATTCAAAATAAAATCCATCTCAAAATTCTTTTCTTTGAAATTATATCTTCTATAATACATGTTTTATAGATGTAACGTTACCATAATATATTATTATGTGATTACAATATTTTGGATCAAAGTGGTTTTGTCATTAACGATAGACTCACTACAATAAAGATAGCTTTAGGATTAGGGAACGTGATGAGTTGGAAACAAACCATCATGATACTTTCATACATCTTTCAAACCTATAAGGTATCAGGGGTGTATCTGACTTTCTAAAATTGTTATGCGGTTTTTCATTTACTTAGAAGGAAACACAATGTGTTCAAATAAAGGAGAGTCATGATATCTGGAATATCCACTCTTAATCTCTACCGAGACAGTATAACAGTGAGACATAGTCACTAAATCAACAGCCGTGTGACTATGATATCATATTACCTTTTAAAGCTTCTACTCTTTCATTCTTTCCTTTTTTATATTCCTTTTTAAGATTTTTTATTCTGAAAAAAAAGAAGAAAATGTGTTTTGAGGAGATTGTGGAGGCGGACAGATCAAGTCCCCGAGGCTGTGGGGGAATCTGGGGGTCTCATCCCTTGCACAGGCCCAGCTGACCTGCAGCAACATCCCCGATCACAGGCTGGACAGGCTACTCCACGGAGGCAGCAACGAGTGCGTGGAAATGGAATGCTATAAGGACTGTGACACGTGACTGAATAAGAGGAACGCAGGGGATGACACCAGCGGTGGAAACACTATGGTAGGAATACTGGGATGGAGAAAAAGAGGAGAAGCAGCAACACCCCACAGAAAGGTGGGGGCTGCGGAGTGAGACCCTTCTGGCTCAAGCCCCAGTTGTAGCGCTCACTAGCTCTCTTATAAATTCTGCGGACTCGAAACTCACGGATTTCAGTTCTTCAGCAGTAAAATGTAAATGCTGACAACGTGAGAAAACAAAATCCATTAAGGAAGAGTGTAACTTTTCACGTGTGTAGACACTGGGATATCGGTGCGTACAAAGAGGCACTGAAGAAAATCTCTGTCACATCTATGTTTTGCCCGACAGGTCTCTGGTCTCTGATCTGTTTTCCATTTGCAGCTCCATGGAATTTCGTGATTACCTGATGGCTTCTTTCCCACGGAATTCTGGAGGCACTGGTTCAAAAGCGTCATTAGATGAAGGATCTAAATCTAGTTCGTTCTCAAGGGCCACATGGTCAACCTTTTGGTGTTGAAACCAAAAAGAGGATTTCAGGAAAAAGCAGGGAGAACGTCGACGACCATATTCAGCTACGTGAACAGGAGGCAAAATTAAATATGGGGTCAGCCACCACTTCAAGGGTTACCGTCACCACAGCAATAGCATTCGTCATCTAGCTCTGATACAAGCACTAATGATGCAATTATCCTCGATCTCTTACAAGTGTCTCTTTTTAATAAGAAACAATCTAAAGTGTTACCGTAGAACAAGATCTTAGGGGGAAAAAAAAAGCTTGCTAATTTATATTCAATACGTTGTAGATAGTTACTTAACAGAAATGCAACGAATGAAATTGTGTTGAGTCATAATCATGGTACTACTTACTGGGCAAGATTTTGTCAAAATATAGTGTCAAAACCAAATAGAGAAGAGTATCAAAAACCAACATGAAAAGAATAGCTATTATCAGGTTCAGGTTGTTTGAAGAATCCAAATGGATGTTAGCATTCACATCATAGTCCAAATGTAGCAGCTGGAAAAAAAAGACACATGCATTGAATTTTAAAAGGATAGATAGAGCATCAAGAATTATTGTCTTAATTCTGCTAGACACTGGGATTAAAAAGATTAACATAATTCCTATCTTTACAGACCTCTAGTCTATTGGAAGATATAACAAATGAAACCATCTAACTACAAAGCAATTTGGGAAGTTAATGCAGGTAGGTATTAAAGGCTTAGAGATCCACAGGCAGCAGCAGGCAAGTCCTCTAAGCAGGAGTAAAAACTTAAGGAGGTGATATAGGATTGCATCCGGTTTAGGATGGGGAAAAAGGAGGGCAATGAAGACGGGATAGGATTTGAAAGTAAAACCGTGGAGAAGTGAATACTTCAGTAGTTGGACAGAAGACAGCAGACTAATTACTATACTAAGATACAATGCGTTTTCATATGTAACTTAACTTTCCATTCTTTCATTTAGCATTTGTAGTTATGATGTCGCAATTAGAATTAAATTTTTCCTGAGAGGAGGTTCAGTTTCATTACAATTGGCCAAGCAAAAAATAAAAATTTACTTCTATGAAATTGCTGGTTTTCAAATATTTGTGATACTGTTAAGGATCATGTTTCCTGAGCATTAAATTAGATAAATCTTCCCTGGGACAGCCCATCAAAAGTAAAAGCTACCACATCAGTAATGGAGTATCAGCTAGTAGTTAGTGACTCAAAAAAAACTAATTATGCTGAGAGAGAAAAATAAAAACACACATCTTCTATGTCTTTAGTATGTATATTTGCAAAAGAGGATGGGAATTTTAATGTTCAGCACGTGTAGCATGAATTATTCAGAGAAAATCTGTTTTAAATGTTTTGTTAAAAAAAATGAAATAATTAGATTAACTCTTACCTGAGCCATTCCAGCAGTGAAAGCAAAAGGGCTGAGAAGGCATAAAGTCCATTCCAAAAAGGCAGGAAGATGTCTGTACAGCGCAGTGAATCCCAGACTTCCCCAACAGACAGTGAGGAGATAGACCACCAAGCCAGAAAGGAAAGGTTTCTTTACCAGCACGCTCATCAGGAAAGCTAAAGTGATCTGAGAGAAGAGAAACACTCCTCTGAGAATCATCCATAGCATAATAAAAAGAATTTCATAACACCAAGTATATTTCATCCATTTCCCCCACCCCACCTCTAGATACTGTCTCGTGCAAATTCTCAAATACTACAAACAGAACAGAGCAGAACAGGTGTGATCAGAATCAGTGATAAATGATTGGTAGGTTTTTCTGAGAGAGAGAGAGAGAGAGCGAGAGAGAGAGAGAGAGAGGGGTGTGTGAGAGAGAGAGAGAGAGAGAGAGAGATATCACCAACTCACCAAAGACAGGCCATAGAGGAGAAAGAGGGTGAACACCACCGCAAAGCCAGTTAGGACGACAACATGGGTAGACTTTACAACAAGAGCCATCAGAGTAGCCATAATAAAGATGAAGCCAGCGTACATCAAACCCCAGGAGAGCCTGGCGTAGAAAACAAAACAGCAGTTTCAGAGTGCTCTTACTTTATCACTCATTTATTTATTTGGCAAGTGATTTATGAAGCTTCTCATATATCAAGAGTAAAGAGAATACCAGTTAATAAATCGAAAAACTTCTCTGCCTCTAAAATTCATAGTCTACAGGAGAAGGTAGGCAATAAACAAGTAAACAGGTAAAATTGGTAGCTAATTGCAAAATAAGAAAGAAAGAAACTGGGTGATATTTGGGAGAGGTTTGGGGGGGTGACATTTGTGAAGATTTGTCAGTTCTAGACTTCTCCTTTCAGATAAGTAATTGTATGAATACCATGGGCAAAAAAATAGATTATGAAGCAGGGATCAGCAAATTTTTTCTTTGAAGATCCAGATAGTAAATATTTTAGGCTTTTCAGACCCTTGGTCTGTTCCGATGACTCAATACTGCCTTTGTAACACAAAAGTAGTCATAGATAACGTGCAAATGATGGGTATGGCTGGGTTCCCATAATGATTTGTTGACACTGAAATTTGAATTTTATGTAAATTTTTGTGTGCCATAAAATATTATTGTTCTTTTGATTTTTTTCAAGCATTTAAAAATGTACAAGCCATTTCTAGTTTACGGATTGTAAAAAATAAATGATTGCCAACCTCTGATATAGACAATTAGATATAGATTAGATATAGAGATAGATATAACATAGACCTAGGACATAGTTACAGATATATAGATGGATATGAAGATATGTTAATCCTTGCTATCAATGCGAAAGAAAGAGGAAGAAAGTTTTTTATAGGGAAAAGACAATAAACTATCCAATCAAACAGATGTAGGTTCATGTTTTCTCTACTACACTGTAACTATATGATCCTGAAAGGTAGTTACTTAATCTCTTTAAACTTCCTTACCCTTTACTGAAAAATAATAAGAGAATTAAATAAAATCTTGTATAAAATGGGTTTAATATGGTAACTACTCCATAATAGGTCCGTAATGAACAGTTAGTTTTAGTCAAAGTAGAAAATGCCATCATATTTTGAAAAGTCTTGCCTAATTGTGATGATTCCCTTTATACAAATATTTCTGCTCATCTGAAATTGTTCATCTGTCTGCATTCTATAAACCTCTCCTGAATTTCATTTATAGGCCACACAACCAGAATGTCACAGCCTTTTCTTAATGGGGAAAAATTATGACTTTTTTTTTTTAAACATTTCCTTCTTGGATTTGTTTGATTTCTTTCTCTCTCTCTTTTTTTAATCATATTGGTTATTTTTCTCTGACTCAAAGATTTCCATGATTTTTAAAATTATAGTGACCAAAATTTCCTTCAGTATTGAATTATGCAATTTTAATTCCAAAAGGGGCACCAGAAAAAATCTCCCATTCTAGACCACACCAGCAATCCATTTTCGCTACTTCTGCGCTCACTTTATTGAACATTCATGGAGGAAAATAAATAAATTTGGTGTAAATTGGCAGCGTTAAAAATGCGTGGTCTTCCTACTCGACGTTATCTAAAGTTCTCTTATAGACTATGTGACATATGTCTAGAACTATTCTACATATTCTACAAATCTTGTTTAACACGAGACTACCACAGTATGTAAAAGGCAAATTTAAACTACTGCTTCTTTGCTCCAGAACTTACGCTTTTACTGCTATGTGTCCCAAAAACATCTTTTGGCGAAACTCGTTAAAAAAAAAATTGTTGCCAATTGTAATTCAATCCTTGGTTTCCTCAGCTGCGTGTCTCAGGTTGTGCTACACCCCCATGCGGAGTGCTACCTCATACCGAGTGTTTAACTTTTCTTAAGCGCCATGCATGTCACTTAAGTACATTTTCTGCTTTCATCTTCCTGACCAATAAGAAATAGACATTTACTATCAATGTTTTATGGAAAAGGAAACTGAGATTTAAAGAGATTAAGTAACTTGATCCAAGTGACCCATGGCTTCCAGCCTGGGTTTTTACCATTTTGCTACGCAAACTCCGCTAAAGAAAGCTCGGGGCTTAAAGAGCACATGGGGGTTCCTTTTCTTCAGTGTCTTAAGAGTAATAATTCATTCACCGTGAAGTCACAACCAATCATCCGTTCTAATAAAATACCTGAGATATACTTCATCAAATATTAGAAACCTCAAATTTATACATATACACACACGCACATGTGTGTGTGTGTGTGTGTGTGTGTGTGTGTGTAGTCACACATATATGGTCATTAGTGACTGGCAGTCATCCTTTGTATCGGTTAGTGATTTGGGTTTCAGCACTCTATAGAATTAGACTTTCTTTAATTCAATGAAGTATGAAAAGTTTCATTTACCAAGCCTATGAGTCTATCTACCTCAATCATTTGTAATGCAGACTTTATGATAGGATACTTTACAGGTCTCGGGGGTCCAGCCAACTAGCTCTGTTGACGTACGCTACGTGACAGATGGTGGCCATGTGATTTACCAGAATGCTGACTCTCGAAGTCCCATCATTGTCATCAACGACTTCATGTATTGTCTTTCTTGTGTAACATTAACGGATACATAGTATATGAATGTAGAAAAAGAAATAATGCAGAAGAAAATGAAAAAATCGGTCGTAATGCCTTCTTGGGCAATGAAAGGCAATATCTTCATATTTATACCAGTGACTGACATGAGCTCTTCCATCACTGAATGGTTTGTTGTGATCTAAAGGAAAAGATCGATGAACAAATTATCATTAAGCTAATTATAACCTCACGTGTTTTTTTCTCAAGTGTAAGAAATCACGTGCATTCCACATTTAGATATTGTTGCCTGTCATGACCTGTCCCCTCGTAGTTCCTGGCACACTCGGGTTTTTGTCTCGACTCCTTAGAACATCCCTGCTTACCAACTTCACTGGACAGAATTCTACTCGACCTTGAAGTCTCAGCTGAAGTGTCACTTCAGTGAGTAGGTCTTCTCCGATATTTCTCATCAGTGTACGTTCTGCTTCATTGTTTGCCTAGCACACCATTTACAATTCCATGATGGAACCTAAACTCTTATTATGACTATATATCCATCACTCTCCCCCCACTATCCAGTATCCCTGAAGAAAAGAACCTGTATGCTACCTATTTCTTGATCCCCTATGCTTAGTGTAATGGTTTAAATACAGTCATGTGCCACACAGTAACATTTTGGTCAATGACAGACTGCATACGTGACAGTGGTCCCATAAGATGATAATGGAACTGAAAAAATCCTATTGCCTAGTGACACTGTAGCCATCATAATATCATAGTGCATAAGTGGCTCATGACTGCATAGCAGTTGTTCAGTACATTGTGCCAAATAAATTAAATGAATAACTTAATTAAATGTAACACAGGACAATCCATTATATAATCTTCCATCAAAATTTAATCTATGATGAATTTGCTCCCTTAATACTCACTTCTATGATAGCAGCATTGATGGCAGCTTGAAAAGCTATAAATCCTTTCTTCCAGAACACTGAACCTTCACACGTGACTTTCTCATCCACTGTTTGACAATGAGCTTTAGGAAGAGAAGAACATAAACAATTATGACAAATGGAACAATCCCGGTTATAGGAAAAATGAAAATTTCAAATGTTCCAAAATGCACTCCAAGTCCACAGTAATATAGCGTACGGTAAGGCTTTTCAGGTGAGGTTTGCAGAGCACACCTCACCTAAGATCAGTTCTCAATAATTTTTCATTCAATCTTATTATTCTTTCCATTAGCCAAGAATACTTTTGTTGAGCTTTGCTCTTCTGTTGCTTGTGCCAAAAAAGCACTAAATTTTTTAAAATGCTTGGGAATTGTTGAGCAAGAGGCTTCCCTGAGGTTTCATTTAGGAGTGATGCAGGAATACAGTCACGCATTGCATAAGGAAGGTTGAGTCAATGATGGGACACAGGTAATGGATCTGAAAAATTCCCATTGCCTAGGGACACAGAGCCATCATAACATTGTAGTGCAATGCATTTCTCCAGTGTTTGTGGTGATGCTGGTGTAAATAACCCTACTGCACTGCCAGTTATATAAAAGTACAGCATATACAGTTATGGACAACACACAATACTTGATAATGACAGTAACGAGCACATTACTAGTTTATGTGTTTACTGTATAGTTTATCATTATTTTAGAGTGTATGCTTTCTACTCATATTAAACAAGTTTTGCTGTGAGACAGTATTTCATGTTACTCTGGCAGCAGCCTCATGCATCTCATGTTTACACGTCTCTCGATTGCATCATTTTCTCTTGTGCTTGATTTGATCTTGTGTCATTTTGTCCAGTAACAGGTGTGTAGTCTAGGAGCAGTGGCCTCTACCACATAGCCTCGGTGTGCAGTAGGCTAGACCTTGCTCGTGTATGTACGTGCGGTCTATGATGTTTATACGACAGAATCACTGAATGATCTATTTCTCAGAACATTTCCCCGTCAGTAAGTGGGGCAGGACTGTACCAGCAAATATAATTTCTTAATAACACAACATACTTGAGAGCATAGGCTTTATTTAATAAGAAGGGATCTCATTATGTGTAGAAATTAAAACATATACATTGTGTATGCTTCTGCTGTCACATACGCCCCCTTGTGGCTGATGACATAATAGCAAAAATATTTTTTTCTAATAGAGAAGTTACCTGAATGATCTCTGTGTTCCTTCATCTTGGGGATTCTACCGCCCCAGAAGAACTTCAAATGATAAGAGAAGTTATCATTAAAGATGACTCTCACTGCATCCATAGAATAGTTTAAATCCAATTTATTCATGCTCTTTTCATCAGGCCACCCCATGATTGTTCTTCCTATCATGCGCAAGAAGAGAATAGTTATATAAGATTTCTATGTGGACCACAGACAGCATAACGCATTCAATGATGTTAAAGCTATTTTATGTTAAAGTTGCTTCTTCACTGAAGGCAGTGCTGGTCTTAAATAAGAGATTCACACTTGAGGATTCTAACTCTCTAGATAAAATCGGAAGTGTCACATGGCAGTCACTTTTATCACAACTAGATTGTGCCTTTCCAAATAAACTATTTAATCAATAATTTAAAGCACAACGAATCTGGGATAATAACAATATCAATGCGTACATTTAAACTCATTTACACACAACCCTGTCTTAAAGTTGAAATACACTACAATTATAAGTAGATACTATAATTATATTTCCATTTGACGACAGTGTCAGTGTGGCCGAACTCCAAAGACAGCAGAAAATTGTTAAATTTGGGGAGTGTTTTCTCAAGAGACTTTGTTTATTCTAAAATATGAATGACTCTTACTGACCAAACCCAGGCCATTTAACACACAGTCTGGATTCTGGTGAATACACACTCCTGGTACAATTCAGCGTGTTCCATTGTCCTCTGTATTTCCTGCCAGCTGGGTTCAGGGGTTTAATCAGATTCCAATCCTTTTGGCAAGACTACAGGTGGTGGTGTATTCTTTCTTCGGGTGTCATAATTTCTGATCATCTCACTTTTCGAGATATTAGCAGCCATTGACACTCAGTGTCTAGATCCATTAATTTACTAGGAGTTTTAAAATGGTGATGTTCTATTTCCATTATTTGTTTCTCATTTATTAGTAGAAAATATTTATAAAGCAGTACTTTTCATTCCTTGTTTAGTTAGTTATTCAATAGTACAGTTTATATAGGATAAATGCTGGTATTCTCCCCCCCCCCACTTACACATTTTCACAAGAACTGATTTCTTATCATCTTCCAAAGGCAAGCATTTTTTTCTTCCAATATCATTATGAAAGCATGGATTTGATTATACATAGGATGAGTTTTAAATCATGCACTTAATATTCGTGTTGAAATTCCACATACGCCAACTTTGACCGGTGACAGTCTTTTTACATTGGCTGCTGAGTCCTTTTGATACAACCGACTCATTCTCAATGGCTTCCTAGCTATCTGGAATGACAAGATACCTCATCCTGTCAATTTCCTGTCCCATATCCCTGGATCTCCTTTCTTCCCATGCTGAGAGTCCTGTGTTTCAAGGACACGGGGAGGTGAGAGAATTAGACTATTCCATAATTACTTATTTAGTATATCCCACTTTACATATATACCAACGAGAGAATAGCATTCTAATATTACACCACCAATCCGATTACTAAAAATGCCTTCAGTTCTCAGAGTGGTCCTCTCTGCTTTGCAGTGGCTACTGGTCTCTTCTTCAGGGGGCTCATTCTCTTCTCAGGCCCATCAGATACCCTATTGTTTCCCTTTGTCTTTTCACTATCCAGGAGAGAGACACCATGCAAGCCTGTGGTTGTTAGTGCATCTTTCTTACTCCCTTGTGTTTGGGGGTTCAAGGAAACACCTTATCACCTATTTTGTTGTAAATATTGCCCATGGTTTCCTGGTTTTGCTGTCTAATTTCTCTTTCAATTTTTAAGTATTTGAAGAGATTAAAAAATCATACTGTCACCATCGTCCAATCTTTTCAGAATCTTCTCATGAACATACATTTGAATAATCTTGGACTACCTCATTTGAATATGAACTATAAAGAGGCTAAGCCTTTTAACATAAAATTTCCTCAATAGGAGACTAGTAAAAACAGTAAGAAAATCTCTTCGATATTTGAAAGGAATATGCATTAACACTGTTAATTAAATTTAGAAATTTAAACACAACACAGTTTATCAAGGAAATTCCAAAATGAATTTGTGTATTTTGCAAATAAGGAAATCACTATGAACTGCCGGAGAACATACCTTTCATGAATGGGGCTGAAGCCACTTTGTTCATTATCTCCTGGGTTGTTTTGGATTCAGGTGCAAAGGCAATAACATAATTAGAATCATTAAAATTATCTACACGTCCCAGATCCACGGCAGGCATTTGAGGAAAGTCATTATCTTGATGTACATTGGAGGAAAATAGGTATGTAAATAATACTAGAAGAAATGAGAAAAACCATTCCTACACAGCAATGAGAAAAAAAATGAAACAAATCAATAGCTGTTTATCTACAGATTAATCATCCATAAACAATTTAAAGCATAATTCTCTTATGTAGCTTGGATTCCATGTCCCTTGTCTCCAGTTTTTAAATGTCCAATTTTCTTTCATCCTTTAATTTGCACATTTTGAAAAGTGCACATCATTCATCAAGACAGAGTTGTAGCATCAAGTCCAACTGTAATTGAGAATCTAAATTTATCATAGTTTAATGCAAGTGTTTAAAGGCTGGGTTGTTTCACGAATGGCCCAATGATTTACAGTTATGTTGAAACCTAAGTGACAATGATAAAGAAGTGTTAAGTGGAATATAATAGAGAACCAGTTTCCAACAACAGGAGCAAGGTCATATTTTTATCTTCTGCTGCCTATATGTAGAAGGATAATGTCCCAAAATATTGCTCGTAAAAAAAAAAAAAAAATTTAAGTCTTTGCCATTGCGACAATATTCTAGAATTGGAAATGCAACAGAACACATGTGAAGTCCAGTGATAAAAACATAATTTATTAGTTAGTTTTAACTCTAAACACATGGCCTTTAAAATAGGTATATATTTTATTCACCATATGTGCTTATTATAGCAATATGTGTTGGTCTATATTTATACATAATCTATCTAGTTAGATAAATTAACAGATATAATACTTATGTAAAAAGAATTAGAAGGATGGTAGCAAAACATCTATATAGAGTAGACTCCAACTTTTATATTTATATTTATATAATCCTTACTTCGTGCAGGGATTTTTATAGACCTATTCCTGCCAATCCAAGCATTCAGTACAAATCTGTTGAAAGTGCACACACACACACAATGTTTATAAGATTGGCACACACACACAAAATGCTCATTAGATTAAATGTTAGTAATCGACCCTTGAATTATGAGTATTTTATAAGTGATTTTAACTTATTATATTTTTCTGAATTTATTGAATTTTCTACACAAAGCATACCTAATCATTCTCATGATCAGAAGAAAATAAGTACTATCTTAATAAAAGCAAAAAATTCAAAAAACATTTTCTTTTTCTCTTTGTTTATATGCCTATTATTTCTTTCAAACTGAATCTGTAGTATAATTGTGTGGAAGTACTACAGTTAGCCTTTGGAATTTTTTTTTAACTTTGGCTTTCTTTTCTTTTCTTTTTTAATGCTTACAGCATCTGGTATTCCTAGGTGGTCTCCCATCCAAATACTAACAAGGCCTGACCCTGCTTAGCTTCCAAGATCAGACGAGATCGGGCTTGTTCAGGGTGGCATGGCCATAGATTGGCTTACTTTCTGAATTAATTCTAGCTTAAATTCTGCCTCTTTTTTAGACTTTGACCCTGAACTTAACAAGTTTCAAATGAGTTTAGATGTTAAGAATTGTTATCTCTGCAGTATAAAGATGTGGCTTTATTTTTCAGGGAGTTTCTGAATATGAATTCTTTTAGAAATGCCGCCAGTATGACATATAATAATGATATATTTTAAAGGAATCTAATTTGAAATAATAGCAAAGTCCTGAATATGAAAAAAATATCCAGCCTGTTAGTTAGAATATATATGAAACTATTAAATAAGAAAGATAAAATGTTTGAGCTGCCTGAGAAAACATTTCTTCCTTTTCTAAATATGAGGACACACAGAGTTAGAACCGTACCAACAAGGTCTCTCTCTTCATCCTCCACTTTTTAAGAAAATTCTTGCAGAGGAGGGCCCATGTTTGCTGCCCTACGGTTATGTGCCGCTTGCTCATTCTGACCTGTTTAAGACGAGGAAGTAAAGTAAGGAAATGTGAAGTTCTGAAATAGAAAACATTGTGCAATCAAACCAAAAAGAAACATCATAACAGCTGTTTCCAATTGCATGCATAGCAAAGAAGTGAGCCGAAAAGCTAAAAAACAAAACAAAACAAAACAAAACAAAACAAAACAAAACAAAACAAAACAAAACATATAAAGGAATGTTCAGGCTCAGTATTGAAAGAAATAAAAATTTCTTAAATTGTTAGGTATAATTTATATTTATCCCTCTACAGACTGAAAAAAAAAATTGGAGAGTTTAATAGATTCAAGTGTAGTTATCCCCACAACTTGGCACTGTTCAATTTTCTAACTGGGATCAAGGAAATTTAAATACTGCTGGTGTGAGTATAGACTTACACAGCCATTTTAGTGATTCATTACTAATTCATTACTATGTCATCCTTTGGTTCTGCTCCTGGGTATGCATGCCAAGGAAATTTTCACATGAGTCCACAAGGGGACTTGTACAGGAATACTCTTCATAATGTGAATTATTGTGGCACCACGTTGTAAAACAAATTTTAATGAATAGAGTCCATAGAGTACTGTGTTGGGTTCAGAAGCAATGGATTGGTATCCACTCATCAACATAAAGATATCTTAAAAACAGTGCCTTTTTTTTTTTTAAATAAGAAAAGGTTGAGTCATATCACAATATCATTTATATTAACACTACATGCAACACACATTTTTCAAGAATTTCCAGGTAGTAAAGGATCACTATCAAGTACAATGAAAAGGTTATTTGTGGCAGTGGAAAATGGGAATAGAAGTTGAGTCTGAAACGAGAGTTATAAATTTAAGGAAATAAATAACAACAAAAAAAAGGCAGGACCTTTGTTTGAACCGATCATTTTGTGTGCTACAAAATTAAAAGTACAATTAACTTGATCATTATCAACCCTTTATAAGTGAAGTACAAAAATATCCCTAGCCAACCATTAAAAAAAACAAACAAGCCCAACAGCAACAAAATCCTAACAGGTAGATAGAAAATCTCACAAAATGCCAGAGAATTCCATATTGTTCATTATGGCTGGAACGAGGAGAGATTGGAATCGTTTGAATATAGGATACTGGAGAGAAAATAACATTCCCATTTAATCATGATCTCTTATGTGTCAGGTAGTTCTAAGTATTTTATAAGAATTAGTTTAATCACAATTGACTTTGGGATTATTATTCTCCTCATTTTACAGATGAAGAAAATGAGACAAAGAGAAGAAAAGTGACTCTCTAAACACAGCTAAGCATGGCACAACCTAGATGGTCAAGTCTTGGAGACCTTGCTGCCAGCCAGTGTGCCATGCTATTGTAGGAATTCATCTAGAGAGGGTATAGATTGCTTCTCCCTTCAGGAGAGATCAGAGATTTTACCAGCCTCCAGTCAGTGAGGTGTTCCAGTCAGGTTTTTTTCCCATAGGCAATCTTTGTCAAGAGCCCCCAAATGCTGGAATATTAGGAAAGGTAGGTGACTCTCAAGAGGCAGAGAAAAATTTTCTTTAAAAAGAAAATTTCATTATAACACAGAGAAGAAAGTTTAAAATATTCCATTGAGTGAACATAAAAAAATTCAAGAAGAAAGATAAAAAGAAATTAAAAGAAAATATTGTATCAAAAACTCCCACAGAAGACATAAAGAACGTAACATCTTCCATGATACAGAGAAAAAAGATGTAATCTTCCAAGTTTTCAAAGAAAATTCAAACACATTTGAAAATGAGAGAGGAAAAAATTAACTAAAATAAAGAGAAAAAATAGTCAAAAGTAAAGTATTTGGTAAAGAGATATCTCAAAAGAAGAATACAGTTGTAAGAAAAGTACATTAAAGAAAATACATTGTAAAAAGTACAATGGAAATTGATTTTTCAAGGTAGTGAGAGGATATGACTATTTCCCCAAAAGGCTAAGTACCAAATATAATGACAAAGAAATATCAAAAATATTTTTAATTAAAAAATAAAGAGAAAATTCTATAAGGAATAAAGTTGATGGGGTAGTTCAGGAGTGATTAAACAGTTTATAGTGGAATAAAAATCAGCCTGATATCTTGAAAGTAGAAGTGAAAAGTCGAGTTGCTTAATTTCCTTTTGAAAAATCTACCAAAATAGACAAAACTAAAGAACAGTGAAGAATTATCTATTAGCCAAAAAAAAATAGAATATGATTTATCCCCAAACGACACCTTCATTCTTGCAAAGTACATGGTCCGATTTTATTGCTGATAAGAAAGAACACCCCAACTAATTTTCAGGTCCATGATGTCTGTTACTCACCCGTGCATATGACTGGATAGGTGGGAGGTGGCAAAAGGGATAAGGGTTGAACTGATAACAGACGCGTGGATCAGATACACCTGTTCTTGGAGGTCCTTGAACTAGAAATGCATTATAGGCAACATAGGCATAATTATTTGCAGGCACCCATGTTGCTCTAAAGTTGTCAATAGAAGACAATGATCCATTCCCTCCTTTTTTGTGGGTTCAAGCTTGGTCAACCACAGAAGCGCTTAGGCTTGCAGGAGGGGAGAACTAGTCTTTGGGTTTCACACAGATCCACCCATCAGTTTCCAATGGCCCAAGTCATCAGTAACCTTTTTTAGAGTTGTTTGCAGAGAGCGTTCTAATTCTAGTCTAGAACCTATATAACAACAAGAATTCAGGACATAGCTAACAGCCATTAACTGACTGCTTCAAACCTAACAAAGGCAGCAGATTTCAGACATGACACTCAATCTGATAGTGGTGGTGTAATGTAATTATTTATATGGTCGTCTTAGTGCAGCCCAAGGATTACTCATATTATCTCCCAGAATGAGCTACATAATTGCATTGCAAGAGTCACATCTCATTATTTTCCCATCAGGCAGACAACAGAAAGACTCTGAGACTTATAGAGTATGAACGACCATGACTTATCTTAGTTGATAAAGAAAACATAAGACCTAATCTTAGTTAATAAAACCCAACCTTCTAAGAGGGGAAATTGGTTCCCAGGATAGTGGCTTGAGCTGGTGCTTACAGCACAGGCTAGTTGGCCAATACAATCTGGGGTTTCAGGGTAGTGTTATCTTCCTTTGGTGCCATATTGAACAAAGATGGAAATCATAGGGTTGCTACTGTCTCTTTCCTTATTTTACCAGTGAGGTTGCTCCTGCCTATTAGGTTCAAGGCCTAAAATTCTGATCTTACCCACCCGGCAGGAGCAAAGTCGTGAATATGCTGCCCTCTGCTGGTATGCAGGAGGCAACTCTAATGGGAAGATCACCTTCTCAAGGCAGAGTGGACGGGGACCTGCCAGAGATCGAGCCTAATCATTGTTTATTTCAGGGGAATACTTTGCTGCTACTGCTACCTGAGTCTGAAAGGCAAGGGAAAATCGAAGAGAACATGGTTAGCAGAATTAATGGTAGCCCCATTTTAATCCTGGAATTTGTGAATATATTACATTTCATGGCAAAGGAGAATTAAGACAGCAGATGGGAGTAAGGCTGGTCATCAACTGATTTTAAATTAAGGCGGTAATCTCGGATCATCTAGGTGGACCCAATATAATCATAAGGGTCCTTAAAAATGGAAGAGAGGGATTGGAGAGTCAAGATGGTAGACTAGGTAAAAGCGGGGTTCGCCTCCTCTCAGATCTGCATTGAAATGATAATCAAATTATAAAATAATCAACGTGGAGAATCACCTGAAGTTCAGTTGATCATAACACGTATGTCCAATAATATAAAGGAACTACATTGAAGCCGGGCAAAGTCGCAAATGGGGCTGGACCTGCACCCGGAGATGCAGAGGACCCCCTGAAAGAGAGTGGGGTTCTAGCTCCATATGGGGCCTCCTTGGCTCAGGATCCCAGCCCAAGGAATAAGAGTTCCCGAAAAATCTGACTGTAAAAATCGGAGGGTATTCTGACTGTCCGGGAGAGATGAAAGGAGACTGAAATCCAAGACTCCCCTTTAAAGGGCCCACGCACAGGCTCTCTTGCCTGTGGACACTCACTTAGGGTACTGGCAGTGGGATAGAGGCTCCGGCAAGATTCATATGGGGAAAGACAGCATTGCCTGGTGCCAGATCGAGGGCTGGACAGTCAGCTGCCATTGTGCTTTAGTCAGAGGGTCCTCCTACGGGGCAGTCTACAGACCGGCTCCAGCTTGCCACTGCAGATCCCTCCCCCTGCACGGCCAATTCGGAAGCTGCACTGGCCTGGGGAGGTGGCCCGCCCTACCCAGCCTGCTCTACCCCTTTCCAGGGCCACGCATTCTGTGCAGGCAACAGACCTCAGGCTAGCACGGTGAGTACATTTCAGGGAAACCAGTTGTGGGCAGACCACTGCTGCCTGAACGAGCTGCAATATCGCTTGGGGGAACGTAGGGGTCTGTGGCACCGCACCAGACAGCAGCTAGTGATGTGATGTGCGACTACTGTGAGAACGCATGGACACAGAAGTTGCAGTAAAACAGCCTGTTTTGGCTTGATGGCCTTTGTCTCCCTGAGATCCTGCTCCCTCCAATCCACAAAGTGCCCACACCCAATTTGCAGGCAGCTGTCCTGCCCTTGCCACTAACCAGAGTGGTGCATTCTTCACAGTCAACAGACCTCGGCTAGCAAACTGAGCAAATTTTAAGGAAAACAGTGATGGGCAGATCACTGCTGACAGCTCGAGATACAATATTGCTTGGGCAGATTGCAGGGTTTGTGGGCCCATCCCAGATGGCAGTAGGTCTCACAGTGATATGTGACTTTTATGGGAGCCTGCTGTCCCAGAGCTGGCAGCAAATCTGGTGTTGTATAGGCTTGATGGCCCCATACCTCACTGAGATGCTACCCCACCTAACCCATAAATTACTTGTGGCAAGCCTGCTCCTAGGCAACCCAGTCCCATCCTGTGCTTTCCTTGGGACATGAATTCAACAGTAAACAGCAACACTCAGTTTGTGTGGCCCATGCATCTGGGA